GAGAATAAAAAGGAACTGAAACGGTCTTGATTTATTTTGCCTATCTTAAGTTGTTTTACAAGTTGTCTTGCATAATGCAAGCTGAGCATACAGACAAAAGGACCTTACTGTCCAGATGACCTTGGATATGGCAGGAACCTGAAAATCCTCCACCAAAGGATGGGACTCAGAATCAGCCCCTTTCTGTAGAACCAATTATCCTTTGCCTAGTAATATGGCCTGATTCAGAGGTTGCTAATCAGGAGTACAGAATACCCCTTAAAGCCTGCACAGCCCCTGGTTCAGAGAGGCAGATTCAAGGTGTTTCACCTCCTGTCTCTATGCCTGTTGCCCTTGCGAAATAAAGCCTTTTCTTTTCTCAAAAACTGGTTTCTGTGTGTGTCAGTTAGTGAGCCCTTGCTCAGGAACAGGATGAGGCCTGAAAAGATAAGTAAGAGTTTGAGCAAGATCTTGTAAAAAGATTTTATCTTAAAGGAGGAAAATGCCAATGGAGGATTTAGAAGAGAAAATATAATACAGTCAGATCAGTGCTTTAGGTGGATCATCCTGGGAGCAGTGTAGAGAACAGATGAAAAGAAAGCAATATATATATATATATATATATATATATAAACAATCCTGTTTGCTGCAGTATTGCTTTCTGTTATAAAAAATCTACAGGCAAAATGGATTAAATACACTATGGTACAGCCATATAATCAAATAAACAATTATTAAGAATAAAATAGAACTACATGAACTGACATGGAAAAATACACTTAAAAAGATATGGAATAAAAGGTATGATGTAATTTTTATTAAAAAGCTCAAATATTTATATGTGCACAGAATGAAAACAGAATGCACATTCATATACAATGTTAAATTTCCAAGGCCATAAAATCTGGGGAGGAAAGAAAAACTTTCCCTTTTTCTGTGTAGGGCAGAGATGGTTTACATGCTTTTCTCCTATGCATGTATTAGTTTTATAATTAAAACCACCAATAAGTTTTTAAAAAAGGATTCTTTGGAAGCTACATAGAAAACACACTGGAACAAAGTAAGATTCAAGTCAGGGAAACCAGTTATGGCAATAAAATTCAGGTGTGAGATGTTGGCTGTGATCATGCTTGAGTCTAGCTGCTAGTGTACCAAGATCACTGGACCACTTGCATTTGGGATCATTTTATGACTGCTGACTGCTAATGCTATACCACTGGGGTTAACGCTGAATGAACAAAAGGAATACTTGGTTTCACAGTATGACTGCAGGTGCTCCTTTTCAAGCTACATATGCATCCGATTAGACGTAAGTATCCACCACCCTCTTACAGACTGCTGGGATATAATCTATCCTCCCTTTAAATTTTGTTTTCACTGGTTGTATTAGTCCATTTTGTGTTGCTATAACAATACCTGGGACTGGGTAATTTATAAACAAAATGAAATTTATCACTTACAGTTTCTTTTTTTTTTTTTAAAAAGATGGCCGGTAAGGGGATCTTAACCCTTGACTTGGTGTTGTCAGCACCACACTCCCCAAGTGAGTGAACCGGCCATCCCCATATGGGATCCGAACCCGTGGCCTTGGTGTTATCAGCACCACACTCTCCCGAGTGAGCCACGGGACAGCCCATCACTTACAGTTTCTGAGGCTGGAAAGTCCAAAGTCCATCTGGTGGTGAGAGTGACCCAGTGGTCTCACACTGCAAGGTGGTGGAAGCAGAGAGAGCAGAGAGAGAGAGACAGACTCTCCTCTTCTTTTAAAGCCCTCAGAACCACGCCCCTGACCACCATTTTTAATGCATTCACTACCGCACAGTCCTACAATCCAATCACCTCTTTAAGGCTCCACCTTTCAATTACTATAATAAGATTTCCCACTCTCTTAACAGTCACAGTGGGGTCTAAGTTTCTAATGCATAAAACTTGGGGAATACAATTCAAACTTCAATGAGTTTTGGGAGGACATAATTCAATCCACTACTCTGGTCATGGCAGAAAGTCTCAGCCCATGCCGCAGCTCTGATCTTATTCTCTCTACCGGTACTGTCATCACAATCTTCTGTATTCCTCATGGCCCAGCCACAAACCCTAAACTCCTGCTCTTCTGGAAACCATTTCCATGGTGCCCTCCAAGATTCCCCTGAGGGATAAAAAAATTCCCTTAATATCCTCAACTATTTCCCTGAACATTCATTTCCTTGTATTATTGTAAACTTGGCTGTCCCCTGGGTGTGTGACAACCATCACATGAAAGAGGGGCTTCTTCCAATGGGCGCTCCACATGTCTATAGGTTGAAAAGTAGGATCAATGTCCTTGCTCCCTATTACTGCTTCTAACCATTGCATCCTTGTAAAAACCACTGTTTTGTTGAGGCTCATACTGTCTAGTTATGCCACTTTCACCCTCTCATCCAGGCTGCTATCTTAGAGTTAAATGGACTCTCCTCATTCACTTAGACATTGCTACTTTACTGTTTTCTCCAGTGATGGCCCTACTGATAACTTGGGATGACTTTCACATATCTAGAAGTCTTATTCACTAAAACCTCTGATCAGTATTTCATCTACCTTACTCTCACAGCAGATAATCTTACCAGGAGACCTACAATCATATGTCTATTTTATTGGCCAGGAACAGGAAAAATAACATCTCTTGGCTACAAGGAGGCTGGGACAAGGAGTTTTGTAATTGGACACAAAGCAAAACTGGGGTTCTATTAGTAAAGGAGGAGAAAATATGTATCAGGTTTGCAACTGGCAATGTCTTCCACAGTAGGCCAGAAAGTAGCTCGAGAAACACTAAACAAACAGCATTATAGTTCAAATACTCTGACCACAGCTAAATTAACATAGATGTAAGTAAATAAACAAGTAATTAAAACCAACCTGCCCATTCCTCCTTTACTCTTGAGAGAATGGTGGCAGTATCCCTTCCCATAGCAAACACCAGTCCTTCTGTGTGTGCTTTAAATATCTCCATCCCCGTTCTCAGGAATTTCATACTATTAACTATCCCTCTTTTATGCCTGCATATTTAATGTCTCTATATCACATCCATCACATCAGGATTCACACGTTCTAGTTTGTCATATTTTAAGAATATGTTCCCTTCACTCCAAATCTCTATCCAGCTACTACCCAATCTTTCTACTACTATTCAAACTTGCCTATATTCAGTCTTTACTTCCTCGCCCTTTACTGATTCCTAAGCTCATTCTAATCTAGCACCCATCTTATATGTGCCATCACATTATTTCCATCTAAGGTCATGAATGATCTTCACATGGCTATGTATGTCCACTTCATCTAATTTGATCTCCAAGAAACACTGAAAACAACTAACTTCACCTTCCTTTTTCAAAACTTGGTTTTCTTGGTTCAGTGAAACTCTACTCTCCCTGGTTTTCCTCTAATCTCTCTACTATTCCTTGTTTTAGCCTACCTTTAAATACAGGTCTTCATGGTCAGTGGTAGATACTCTCTTTTCATTCCATCTCCCCTATGCAATTTTAGTCACCTTCACAAAGCCTATTACAGTCTACCTACTGATGTCACTAAAGTTTATATCCCTGTTCTAGACTTTGTTTTCGTTTTTTGGCAGTTGACCAGTAAGGAGATCTGAACCCGTGAGCTTAGTATAATAAGGCTGTGCTCTAACCAACTGAGCTAACCAGCCAGCCCTTTACCTAGACTTTGTTTCTTTTTTCTTTTCTTTTTAAAAAAATATATCCCTATTCTAGACACCTCCTCAGGTCCAGAACTGCATATCAATCTGTTCATATGGATATCTTACAATCCTACAAAGTTAACATGGCTAAGTCTGCAACCACTGCCTCTTTTCTTCCACCTTATGCCCTTCCTTCCATATTTTGTTTTTTAACAAATTAGAGCTAATCTGATCAGTATCTGCAAGATGAAGCAGGAAAATCTCAAGCTTCACTTAGCATTTAAAATTAGTAACGTCTATCTGAAAACCTGCATTTCCTGTGATGAAATGTCAGAATTCCCTTTTTGCTTCCTTGACCACTTGTTTTCAGTGATCTCATTTCTATCTCCATCTCCTATCTAAGCACAAAAGTTCTGTCAGTATTCCTTTTCTGCTCCCCCTTTTCTATGTTCCTTTTCAAATGTGTATATCCAACATGAAACATTTAACTCTGTATACCTCTGTGGTCCCTTTTTAAAAAAATAAATAAATAAGGTGACTATATTCAGGTACTGCTTTAAAAAAACAATTAACTTATTTTTCTCACATAAAAAGGTGGGCCAGCTATCAGCAGTGCAGGGCTGGCATAGCGGTTTAAAGGTATCTTTTGGAACCAGGATCTCTAGCTTCCACACCATCCTTAGGCCATGATTGTCATCTCATGATCACAAGACGGTTCCTTCAGCTCCAGGAATAGTAAATTCAAAGGGATAATGAGGAAGGCTAAAAAGCAAAGTGCAAAAGGCGAAAAGAACAAAACAGAGAACTGTATTCACAGGGATACTAGTCTGTTTTTGACCAGTAGGAAATGAGGGATATGGCTACCTTTGGCTACAAGGAGGTTGAGAAGAGTTCTGTCACTAGACACACTGGTAATTTCAGCTAACACAGGGCTCATTAGTAAGGATGGAGAAGCTGATTATTAGGTTGGCTACTAGCAATAGCTGCCTCACTGGACCAGAAAGCAACTCTGAAGAAAACACCAATGAACTAGAATCACATAGTCCAGATACACCAAACACAATGCGATAATTTAAAAATAAATAGTAAAAAGGTAACTGAAAATCTTCATAACTCATATATTTAAAATACATAATTCTAATAGCCATGGATCAAGTAATAACAATTATACAATATTTAGGACAAAAATAAAATAAGTTAATACAGAACAAAATGTGTTATATAGCTAAAGGGGTATTTTGAGGGCCATTTATAGCCTTAAATGATTATTTTAGAGAACAAAGACTGAAATAATGAGCCTGGAGTCTACCTTAAGACAATGAAAAAGACAATTTCACATTTATAGCACTTACAGGGTTTCTCTCCCAGTATGAATTCTCTTGTGTATAATAAGTGAAGAGCTCTGACTGAAGGCTTTTCCACACTGAATACATCCATAGGGTTTCTCTCCAGTGTGGATTCTTACATGTCTCCTAAGGGAAGAGGAAACACTGAAGGCTTTCCTACATTCCTTACATTCATAGGGTTTCTCTCCTGTGTGAGTTCTCACATGCATTCTAAGGGATGAAAGACCACTAAAAACTTTCCCACAGTCACTGCATTCATAAAGATTCTCCCCAGTATGTATTTTCTTATGAACCTTAAGGTGAGAGCTTGTGTTGAAGGCTTTTCCACAGTTACTGCATTCATAGAGTTTCTCTCCAGTGTGTATTCTCTTGTGCACTATAAGGTAAGAACTTGTGCCAAAAGATTTTCCACACTGATTACACTCATAAGGTTTCTCTCCAGTGTGAGTTCTCACATGAGCCTTAAGAGATGTTTTTTGACTGAAAGCTTTTCCACAGTGATTACATTCATAGGGCTTCTCTCCAGTGTGAGTTCTTACATGTCTCTTTAAGGTTGAGGAATCATTGAACACTTTCCTACATTCTTTACATTCATATTGTTTCTCACTCATGTGACTTTTCTTGTGCAAAACAAGATTAGAAATCCTTTTGAAGGCTTTTCCACACTGATCACATTCATAATGTTTCTCTCCAGTATGGGTTTGCTCCTGCTGCTTAAGGAATGAATGATGATGAAAGGTTTTGTTGTTTTTACTCCATTCATAGGAATTCCCCACCATATGAAAATTGTTATGTATAGGAAGCATATTATTGTGTTTGAAGAGTATACCATGTTTGGAGCATGTGTACTCTTTTTGTGCTGTTTGTGTTCTTTCAAGATGCCACACAGTTTTATCATATTCATGACTTTCACAGAGCCTCTCACTTAGAAAGTTTTTCTGATGATTGTTTAAGATTGAATTATGTTTTGAACATTCAATACCTGAGTAACATTTATGGCAATATTTACTGATGTAAAGTCTCTGTGAAAAAATAAGTTTTGATCTAAGTTTAGGGTTTTCCTCTAATTCATGACAGTCATGGAATCTCTCCTGAGATATTTTCTTTTGGGTATATGTCACTTGCCTCCAATGTCCCTCTGGGATCTTGTGCTGTTTTCTCATCTTATGGCATTCCCAGTGTTCTCTTAACATGGAGGACCAATCATCCATTGTGAATCTTATTTTCATTCCACTGGATGGATTCTCCCCCAAAACATCCTGCTTAGGAGATGATTCTTTGGTTTTAAGATGAATCATCCAATCTGAAGAAATGCCTTGGGCAATTCTCCTTCTCATAGTTCTTATCTCTTTTTCATCCAATGGGGAGATCACAGTAGGCTCGCATAATTGATACTCTACTAAGGTAAGATTTCTATAGTTTTCCAACATCACGTCTCTGTACAGACTTCTCTGAGCAGAGTCCAGCATCATCCACTCCTCCTGGGTGAACTCCACAGCCACATCTTTGAAGGTAACCAGTTCCTGTAACCAGGCTGTTGGAAATCCAGAAACCATTCTTTCCTCTTCAGTATTTCTCAAACAGAAGCTGGCAGACTTTTGTGCAGGCAGAGCCCATGTGGGGGATAGTTCAATGACTGCCATCTTGTGAATCTGAAAGTGACATAAGTCTCCACAGTAGGGTAGAGATATCAGGATGTTTCTCTGATCCAATCATGGGAGGGATGCATTTCCACAAGTACCTTCCCTGTAGCCAAAGAGCAGGTTCAGGTAAAAGAAGAAAGGTGGAAACAAGGCCTCATTGGAGGAATGGTAAGAAAAAAATGTAGACCCTCCCCCCTACCTCTCAGCAAGGTCTAACCATCTTAAAACCTATTTACTGGGATTTGTACTGACATGCAATACAGTTAGTTATTCTTGGCCCCATTTTAGAACATCTTGGTTATCTGTACCGGCTTCTTCTGCAGATTACTTCTCAGCCTTGGATAAATGGAATATATGTTTAAAAAATAGGTAAGCCTCAAGAGAACCAGTCAAAAAGGCATGGTTGTTTAATTAAATTTCAAGTATGATTTGCTACCTCTTTAGTTAAAGTTTTGGAAAAGAAAAATGATTTTCCTGCTAAATACAACTGTTTTAAGTAAATTTCTGTTCTATAACTTGGTGTTTATCTGAACAACCTTACATATGATGAAAAAGACTGATGAGTGGCTGCTGCCCTACTAAAGAATTTTATTAGACTTGTTAAAGGTATATATGTGACTTTGAAACAAATGTTCACTTGATTATGTCTAATTTAATCTCACTCTCCAAAGTTCATATTTTCCTATGATAATTTATTCTATCTAAAACTTGAATGGGATCAAGAGACAAAGGAAGGAACATGAACTATGTTCTAAGCTTTGGGAAGGAGGGCCTTAACAATGTTAACATTGGATATTGTACTTTTCTGAAAAATTTTTATAATGGCCTTAAAACAAAAAACAAAACAAATAATACATAGTGTGAATACAAAAGATACATGCTTGGGGACTTTAAGGATTACCACAAATCACAAGATAATTACACTAATATTTTTAAAGGTCTCACATTTTGAAGATTAGGTGATAACCATCAAATCCAAGTCTTTTCTCTCAGTATTGTGCTTCATTGAGTTCAGTTTTAATGGAGAAAATTACAGACTTGGCATTTTTTATTTTGACAGGTAGATTCTATGTCCCTTAGCCAGAAGTGTACAGAGGTCTGTCACGTTAGTGGAAGTCATACAGAAACAGATTTTTGTCTGATTTGTTCATTGCTGTATTCCTACCTTGAAGAGTTCCCAGCACATGGCAGAAACTCAACAATTTATGCACCGAATAAACTGAATGAATCTGTGATAATTAACGTCTGTGGGGGAGGTATTTTTCACATCCACACCCTTTTTTTCAGAAGAAAAACAAAATTAGAAAGTTAGGCTTCCTTTTTCAAGAAAGGAAATCTGTTTGCCTTCTGATTAAAGAGGTTAAGCTAAGAATTATACTGTGGGTTTAATCCTCCATTTCCTGTAGTTTTATTTTTCTAGTTACAGAAATAATGACAAAAACTAAAAAACTTTACCAAACAACCGGAAAAAAAAAAACCTGAAAAAATGAAGAGATTCATCAGGTGAATCAATGTGTGATTTTGATTAATCTACATACTTAATAGTGAGTTCCTGAAATGTGATAAGTTGATTTTTAAAGGCTTTATAGAAAAATTAAGATATGTGAATAATAAAGGGAATTATTTTTTAAAAACCTTACCCTGTTATACTTCAAAATGCATTACAAATATCTAGTACCTTAACCAGTATGATAGTGGGGCAATAATAGAAAATAAAACAGAGTATTTTCAGAAACAGATTCTTGTGTAGCTAGATTACTAGTACCTGATAAAGGCAGGACTTTAAATCAGTGTCAGAAAGGATGAACTAGTCAATAAATTGTATCTGGACAAATGGCTGTCTGGGAAAAACACAAGTCCTACCTCACATATTCACAAATTCAGGATGGATTAGAGACATTAATATGTGCCTAACAGGAATTCCAGAAGAGGAGGACACAGAGAATAGAACAGAAGCAATGTTAGATACAAGAAGTGTTTTTATCCCAAGCCAAAAGAAAGATATATAAGTTCTTCATCTGAAAGTGTATATACTACATGCCATGCAGGATAAATTTTTAAAATCCACCAGCCACCAGCTACACTGAAGGTAAACTGTAGAATATCAAAGATAATGAGCAAAATTTTAAAGTTATGGGAGAGAAACGTCTAATTATCTACAAAGGAATATCAATTATACCAACTACAGACTTCGCAGCTGCAATGATAAAGGTCAGAAGACAATGCAGTAATATCTTGAAAGTATTAAAGGAAAACAACATCAATCGAGAATTCAGTAGTGTGTGAAAAAGTGAGAGCAGGGCCGGCCCGGTGGCGCACTGCTATAGTGCGCCGCTTGGGAAGTGCGGCAGCGCTCCTGCCGAGGGTTCGGATCCCACATACAGACCGGTTCCCGCTCACTGGCTGAGCGAGGCACGGGAGCAACACCGAGGGTTGCGATCCCGTTGCTGGTCCCGGTCCGGTACGGGGGCGACACTGAGGGTTGCGATCCGTTGCCGGACACGGAAAAAAAAAAAAAATCAGTAGTGTTTGTATATTCCAACAATGAACTAGCAGAAAAAGAAATCAAAAAAGCAAGACATTAAATACCCAGGAATATATTTAACCAAGGAGGTAAAAGATATCTACAACGAGAGCTACATATTACTGCTGAAAGAAATTAAGGAGGACACTAAAAGATGGAAAGACATTCCATGCTCTTGGAATAGAGGAACTAATATTGTGAAAACATTCATACTACCCAAAGCAATCTACAAATTCAATACAAGCCGCATCAAAATACCAATGATGTTCTTCACAGAAGTAGAAAAAAAAATCCTAACATTCATATAAACCAGAAAGACCCCAAATAGCCAAAGCAAACCTGAGCAAAAGAAATAAAGCTGAACGAATTACACTACCTGATTACCGCTCACAGACAGTTCCTGAAGGAACTACTAAAAGGATCAACAAGGAAACAGAACTCAGAAGAAAGCAGTAGTAGGGTGTAAGATTAAAGCAAAGACAAAGGAGGAATTCAGGAAAAACAATGTAAAGTACAGAAAAAAACAAAATTCCAAGCAAGAATAACATCTTCAAAGGTGCTCATAATGTAAGAGAAATGTGAATTAAAACAACATTGAGATATGATTTCTCTAAGGGAAATCTTATATTAAGAGAGACTTGAAATTGTATGAAACTTATTTGGACCATCGGTCAGATAAATTGTTTAAAAATTTATGAAAAAACAAAAATTTGAACACTTTTTGATATGAAGAAATTATTGTTAATATTATAGGTGTGATGACATCCTCCTTATGAGTTTTAAACTCCTTATCATTTAGAGATAAATTCTGAAATATTTTCAAATAACTAATGATGTCCAAGATCTTTTTCAAAGTAGAGTGACAGGATCAAGGATGTTCATGAAACTATTACATTTTTGTATATGTTTAAAATATTCATCGTATATTTTAAAAATCATCAGACAGATATTCCATCCAGGAAACAACAATAGGATGCTATGGGTGTTTTGTTTGTTTATAAAATCACGAAGTAAGAAAGTCTTAAGAAATTAAAAACTATAATAAAAAAAGGTAGGAGGGATAGAAGATAAAGTTAAGGAACTCTTTCAGAAAGAAGATCCAAAAGAAAAAGATAAGCAATGAGTGAAAAGGTAAGACTACTGTACTATCAATTTCCAAGGTCCAACACCAGATTATTCAGTTTCAGAAAGAAAAGAGAAAATGGGAGGAAGTGAGAATCAAACAAAAACAGGGAAAATTCCTAAAAATAATAGAGTATTTAAGAATTGATGGATCAAAGCGGTAAGTTCTTAAAATAACTGGCAGTAAAACATATCACCATGAAATATTTAAATACCAAAGATAAACTGGTGAACTTTAAAGTTCCAAGAGATAAGTAGGTTACATACAAAGAATCAGTAACAGGCATGAAATAGATAGGACTTCTCAACTGTAACACTGCTGTGTTTTTTGTCTAGCTTTGCCAGCTTTCAAAATGTTAATGGAAAATATTTTCATACCCAGGACTTCTGTATTAGGGCAAAACACCACACAATTGCAAGGACAAAATAATTTCTAGTCATACACAACCTTAATTTATGTAATGGATGCTTTTTCAGGAAAGTGATAAGATTATAATCCACCAAAATAAACAGAAGCAGCTTCCAGGAAACAGGAGCTCTAACACAGAAATGAGATGTGGAAAGGGATGAGGGTAAAGGAAAGTCCTGGTATGTCAGTGTGCTGAATGCCTACAGAATAACTTATCAGTCTAGACTGTAGGAGGATGTCCAGGAAAAGAGAAAAATTGTAATATTGCATGACCAATTAGACCTTGAAGAAAATGGAATCAAAAGGCATTTTATGTAGGGTTAAGGAAAATTAAGCAAATGAATAATAAGGCAATTAAAAACAAGAAAAGTAAAATTTCTACAAGAAAGAAACTTATTGTGGCTCAATAGTAAAGACTATGTAGTCGTCACAATGAAAACACTGATCATATTCAATCAAAATTTGTGAGAGAACTACATTGTGATTTAAGGATGTAGAAAAAAGAAAGGTAGGAAAAATTCTCATTTAATACAATAAAAACTTTAAAAATAATGTCTCAAACTGATGAATAAAAAAATACTGAGGGTAGTTTGAAGCCAGAACTTCTAAACATATTCGAAAGTGATTACTTATGGGAGCATGGGGGAAGGGGGTTAGTGGGTTTTTTTTGAGCCTTCTAATGTATTTAACTTTTTAAAATATATACACACATTTCTTGGAGAGTAAGTAAAGAGAAAATATATGAATTACATAATCATATCAAGAAGAAAAACAGTAATGAAGCAAAAGAAAATTTAAAAACTAGGGGGAAAAATTACTGGAACAGAAAACCAGAGTATAAGTGATGGCCGGTTAGCTCAGTTGGTTAGAGCCCTGTGTTATAACACCAAGGTCAAGGATTCAGATCCCCATACCGGCCAGCCGCCAAAAAAGGAAAAAGGAAAAAAGAAAAAGAAAACCAAAATACAAAAAGACATAAGACAAAACCGAATCACAAAAACCACTCAAATCTGAGTCTTTGAAAAGACTAATGCAGATATACTCACATATCTTGCAGATAAGTATTAGGTTCAATAAGGAAAAAATAACAGCTACAGCAGTAGTTTAAAAATATCATTAAAAAGCAGTTATTTTAAAAGTCACCATAAAAATCGCTTATAGTGATAAAACAGTATGGACATTATGCCAACAAATTTGGAAATTCAGATTAAAAAAACAATTTTCTGGCTGGCCCGGTGGCGCACTGGAGAGTGAGCCGCTTGGGAGCGCGGTGGCGCTCCCGCCGAGGGTTCGGATCCCATGTGGAGACCGGTTCCCGCTCACTGGCTGAGCGCGGTGCGGGCGCAACACCGAGGGTTGCGATCCCGTTGCCGGTCCCCGGTACGAGCGCGACACCGAGGGTTGCGATCCCGTTACCGGTCAGTAAAAAAGACAAAAAAAAAAAGGAAAAAAAAAAACAAAAAACAAAAAAACAGTTTTCTAGCCAGCTGCCACACATACACAAAAAACCCCAAAAACCATTTTCTAGAAACGTGTCCAAAATTGACTCAGTATAAGCTACAAAACCTAAATTAACAAACGAC